TTTTACGTCCCTATATCGTACAGACAACAGGATCGTTACGCTGCACGACCTTTACAACGCAGTGACCTTTTATAACGAAGTATTCTGGAAGTCCCGGAGATTTCGTTATGCGGGCCGTTTCGCTGTATACGAAATTGTGGCAGCGGGCTATGACGCTCATAGCTGTCAGATGTATTGAATGAGTGGGCGAGTGCCGCCCGACGCAGCGCTGCCTTTCCCATTCATCCCTGACAAGCTCTTGAGGGGCGCTTGAACTTTTGACAGCTGTGAAGCAGCCGTGCGTATACAGGCGGCACAGTCCCACTGCCTACGGCTGTCTCTCTTGGTTGCACTCGGCCGATAGTTTATAGTGTGTATGCTATACGGGAGGAGGCGCACCGCGCCAATCGGCGTCGATAGCTGTGTGACCTGCGGCGGGCGCTGACGCCACACACCGCGCTCTGGGCCAACGGGACGCTTTCCGTCGCCTCCCACTCGACCTGCGCCGTCGTAACTCGAGGTCATCGACCCTTACGAACGGACGTGCTTGTATTTCATCTATCCCAGCACCTGCCCGTCTTCTTGCATGCATGCACCAAGACCTTCGCACGTCTGCAAGCGACATGCAAGCGTGCACTGCATTCGCTAACTCGATTTTCTTGCGCGGCCAAGGAAGGCACGGGGTAGGAGGGGATGCATGCGAAAATTCAGTGAAAGCTCAGCTTCCTCAGTTCTTCTCTTCACACCGCACTCTCTTAAACACTTATTTACCGCCGCACTCCATTCAACACTTTTCAATTATCGCGAGCAGGAAGGCCACGTACCTTCCTGCTCGCGATAGGGCCTTCCACTTAGCGTATAACTATATAAACATAGAAGTAATAAGTTACCACGACTGCGTGTCTCATTTCGCGTGTGTTCAGGTGTTTTAAATCTTCGTGTGTGCATCATGGTGGTTGTTTGAGTGACTGAGAACTTCCAGCGGCATGCACTCTTATAGTATATCCGCATTAAAGCATTCTACCACGCATTTATTTGCGTAGTATATGTTCATTGTATTTCCCTTAGGTCCATATTTCTCTATGCGGATGGTATAATGTGGATCGTGTTATTCTACGTATGCCGGCTACTTCTTGACTCGTAGCGCTCGTGGCCGACATTCCACCGACACATCTCCATCTGCCCTTGGTTTCTGTTTTCGGCCGTTACGTGCATCATCAGTAACGCGATTTTTTTCAAGTTTTTTTTTTTTGTCTTTCTTTTCTGCGCTGTGGAAGAGAGAGGATACAACGTCAGGCTGAAGAGCAGCTATCGTGTTTCATACTGACGAGGAGGAAAGACCAACCCACCCTGTTGATCCCCCCCCCCCCCCCCCCCCGACCTCGCTTTTCTTCGATGGGAGTGTATCCTCTCGTCCGTCCAGTCCTGCGAGCCTGCATATGCGAACGGACGGTCAGCTGCTTTCATATTCGGACGCGTTGGCAGCAACTTTGGTATGCACCGCGTGGGCAGCGTGTGATGGACGCTTGTCTGGTGCCGCTATGTGCATCCTCTCGTGAGTGCGTCGGCGCGAGAATATATATATAAAGTAAAACGAGCGACGGCGAGGGAATATAACTGTACAGTGCGTGTGTGTGTGTGCACGAGAGCGGCCGCGAGCGTGCCTTCGGCGCATTCCTGGCGTGTCTGCCCGGCGCAACAGGTTTTTTTTTGCTGCGGCTCTTTTTCCTCCTCCTCGTCGTCGTCGTTCGACGTCGCCGCCAGCGTTGGACGAGTGCTGCGCCAGATGAAGGCATCGCTGCGCCGTGGAGCGCGCGCGCTGGCGGCGGTGTTGGTCGTCGTCGTCACTGTTCCTTCGTTCAAGCAGTTCGCTGGCCCGAGTCGTTAGTTCCAGTAACCTGGTTCTATACGCCGCCGGACGACGTCGACGAGGCTTCTTTCTCGCCGGCCGCCGAGGACGCATGCCCGCCGGGGCTTCCATCTTCCACGGCCGACTGCTTGCCGGCGGGTATAACGGCGCCGCGCGTGAGTTGTGTGTACGCGGCGCTCTTGCACCGGCTCGGCTGGCCCAGCTGAGAGGTAGCGCGCCTTTGATGTGTACAGTTCAGCCTTATGTGTGCTTCCGTGTGAGTGTGTGGCCAAGTACCGAAGTCGAGTGCAGTTGCCCGTTGTTCTGTCACACGTCCAAGTCCCGTAGAATCGTTGCCTTCCACAAGGACGATCTCCACGTCGCATTACAAGACAGAAGCCGCCGCTGACGTCGCCATCGGTATTGGATCGGCGAAGCCTCGTGAGAAGCCCATCCTGCGCCAAACACACGAACACACCCTGTTGGCCGTGCGGATGCTGGCACCGCCGCCGACTGCGCCGTTGCGAACGAGCGTCGTCGTTCCGCGTGCCGAGGCCAGCTGACTTCCGTCGCGCATAAAACGCCCTGTTCGCGCTCTCACGACGCGCGTGGCTCGGTGGCGCATCAGCTGTCGCTGTTGTCGCGCGTGTGTTGTGCCCTCTCTCGTGGTGCGGCACAGTGCGGTGTTGTTGCCTGTCGAGCCACCGGCATCAAACCTTCCGGGGCGTGTACTGCACCGAAGTCGTCAGGACCGCTTCGGTAGTGTGACGGTGTGTCGCATCTGCCTATTTGCGCTTGGCGGGCTCGTCACCTGTTCTATTTTGTCGACCCGAGAAGCAGCTGACAGCCAGCCTCGAGTCTGGCGTAGCGAAACGGCGTCCCCGTTTTCGGACTGCATGCGCTCAGAGCCGCCAGAGCTTGCACTACATGCACTGGGCAGGAGCCCGGCGACTACCGAATGTTTCGTGTACCAGGCGCGGCGTGTGCGCTCGCTGACATGGACCTGGTGAGTGAGCTCAGGCCTCAACTGCTCGGAAGACGTGCCTCGGCGATTTGCTGTCTCCGCCATCCTCGACAACGTCTCACTCGGGCTTTGCAAAACACCGAGGTGGTAGACGCGCGTACGACCGCCGTGTGGGATACCCTGAACCACCGTTAGCGAACGAAAGAAGCCCCGCAGATACACGGCATCTCTCGAACGCTGTTTTATTTTGGAGCTGTCATCATCCTCTCATCCTGCTAGCACTCAATTATTCGGTGCCTAAGCTGGTTTCCGACAGTCGCTCTCGGAAAGCTTAAACAGAACTCGCTCTTAACTCGACAGCGGGTTTGCAATCGACCGCGACCCGCACTCTTCCCGGAATCGGATTCGATCGGTGTCGGCTTCGGACAGCCGCTTCGACCTAAGCTGTCCTCCGCGTTCCCTCTCTCGGAAAGGAAGCCGTACGAGAGCAGCGCCGGGATGGCTAGACGGTGAGGATCTCTCGTTTGTTCTTTTCATCTTCCGCTCGGGAGGAAAGCTAGGACGCTCCTGGAAGCTTCCGTCGTACTGTGCTGCCATAGCTTGCCCGTTCGCAGCAACCGCCGCCGACCGGCCGGAAACGGGCGGAGAGGCCTACTCGGCGGAATAGCAGCGTTTGTACAGGCACGAAAGAAGAACCTCGAGCGCGACGGTCGTTGTGAAACGCGATATGAACCACCTTCTCTGCTGAGAAGGGACGGACCAACGATCGGAAGGGCAGCGCCAGAGAGTAGCGCGCACCGTGCCGTGTCCCCCTTCCCAGTCTGCGACCAGCCGCTCTTCGGACCTGCCTTGTCGAACTGTCTTTACAAGTCTCCAGCTGAAATAGCCTCTTCTGCGGCGGCTGTGCCTTCAGCCGTAACGTGACGACCGCGAGCTGCTGTGGCGACTGCTGGTCGGACGCGCTCTCTCTCTCCACTCCGCCTCATCGCCGTGTGATTGATAAGCGCGGTCGACTGCCGTCGCCTGAGTGGGCGGGTTCTCGCTACGCCCGCCGTCGTGTGTGTTTGCCGCTTGGCGAAGCCACTGACGCGTTGTTGCACATACCTTCTCATCCCCGTCGGTCGGCCGCTCTAACTTTTCGCTCTAACCGACCCTCTGCGCGCTGCCATATGATCTTTCCCACCGGAGTCCAGCCTGCCGTTGTCAGACAGCGCATACCGTCGCGGGTGTCAGGTGTGAGCGAAAATCCGCGGGAACTCGACGAAGCTCGCTTTTCTCCCGGCTCGCTTCTCTCGCCATTCGGTCAGCAGGAGCGCTCCCGGTTCCATCTAGTTTGCTGACAGTTTCCTCAGTGCACCGACTTTGTTCCTCCGAGGACCTCAAAGGGGCGACCCGTTACTTCACTCTCCCGACTTTGCACCTTCTTGAAGACGAAACGCTCCGAATGGACTCTATCGCGGACGGTTAAGCCCACCCCGAAGAGTACATTGTCGGGACGCCTGTCATTCAAGTCTTGCAGTTCTTGCGGCGCATCGCGGCCTTTTCTTGGCACCGTGAGCTTCAATTGGGGTACGTTCCTCACCATCCTTTCTCTCACGTGCTCTGAAGAGCGACATCAAGTGTGACCGAGACAAGTTGGACGGGCATCGGGACCTTCTTTTGTCTAAAGGTCTGACCTGGATCTATATTGTTCGCGGGACCGGTCGACGCAGTCGTCATCTCGCACGTGCTTCGAGTGAGTCCGCATTTGAGTTCTTCGCGCAGACAGCGAAATCGCTCATTGTCCACGAAGAGTCTCGCTGTCCTACTCTTCTTCTTCAGCCACCGGAGACAGTTCGGCGAGCGTCGCAGTTTTGTTCGCCACGCAGTGCGCCCTTCGTGTGTACGAGCAGCAAAGCGCTTCCCTGCGTGCGCTTCCCTTCTTCACCCTCGTCGGCACCGTCGCCTCCCAGATCGTCTCCCTCACCTCGTGCCCCGGGAGTGATCGTCTCTTTCTTGGCCCATTTTACGTCCTTAACGCCACTGTTGTCGTTCTCCGATCTGTGATTGTGAAGTTGGCCGGCAATAGGGTCCAGCACTAGCGCGGCCTGTGCGAACCTTCGGATTGAGGTAACCGCTTTCCCACGGAGTCGCGGCTCTGTGTGTGAGTGTTGTGTCGGGTGTGTGTCGTGGCGAGATGGTGCGGTGAGAGTGCGGCCCGAAGCAGCGATGTCCGAGCTGGTGGCCAGGGCCGCGAAGATCGCGGCCGGATGCCTGACCCGCCGCTCCAAGCGCTACGACTTGGCCAAGGTGCACGCCAGGGGATGCATCGCAGCCGCTCCTCAGGTACGGATGCGGAACCTATTGCAGCTTGAAAGATCAAGGACAGGACACCACGAACGCTCCTGGTGCCCTGTCCATTCCTCTGTCTGTGTTATTCCATGCTATATACGATGACTTCTGTATACGTGTAAACTATATAACTCGTCCAAAGAGAAGTGTTTCTGTGGAGGCTGCTTCATGCAGCAGCCCGTGCTCGAGACGTCGTCGTGTGGCACGTCGCTTTCGCGCGACCGCCTTGTATGGTAGCACACTATGTGAATGCGAAAAAAAAAAAAACGCGCTGCCTCCACTTGGTCGGGATAGACCACTGCCATTCGGAGTTGCATGCAGTGCGCGCGATGTGGCGATAACGGCACGCATGCGTGGTATACGCTGCGCCATCGCTCTCACGGAGTCTCTTTTTCTTTCTTTGCTGTTCGTTCTGCGAGGAGAAAAAGTAAGCAGGATGGATGCCACTCTATACCCGTATCAGCAAAGAGCCTTCGAGAACGGGCCCGGCTTCTTTAGTAAATAGGCGCCTTTGCATTTGCAGGAGGCAAAATAACTGTATACCCCGAGATAACGGTCTCATCGATGTAGGTATATACCTGCCGAGGCCGCAGGTTCAGTGACTCAGTGTCCTGGCGATGTAGCTCTCCAGTACCGAGTTTTGCCAGAGCGTTATAAAGAATACAGTTCGTCAAAACTATAGTTCGAAATGAGGCTTCCACTGTTGTGACTTGTTCAATGTTTCCCCGACTGTCTTGATGTCTTATACAGAATAAAACTAATAGTTTGTAAAGTTGTTTATTAAACGCTGACTTAATTAAGCGTCGGTCGGTAGCCTTATCAACGGCTCAGCTCAAGTCACGGACATCGAGCGGCTTCCACGACCAATGCGCGGTAGAGATATGAGTCACTATAGATAGCACTGGGGATGATGCCCCACCCACCATATATAGCGTTGTTAATCGTTACAGAATAAAGGTGTGCGCGTTTCTCACATGATTGCCTGTAATGTTCTCCGAGAGTGCAATTTGTTTTCATGAAGAAAAGAAACGATACGGCGTTCAGTGAGGGGAAGTCGCTTACAGCTAATTGTCCTGATATCGCTGGTATGATTTTTTTTTATTGATATGATATATAAGGCGATGTTCGTGCACAAGTAAGGCGTCGACTACTCCTCGGCCCTTGAGTGAATGTTGAATACACGTATTAAATGAAAAATAAAGTGCAGTACATGGAAAATAGAACATCCGAGCACACATTTGGAAAAGCACACTCATACGCCCGTATCGAACAACGTCAACACAAAGATAATGAAATGTTCGAAAGTTTGTGAATGATGTCTCTGATAATGTCTTGACATTCAATCCAACCGGCACAAAATAGCAGTGAACACATGTACGTGTTTCTTATAGAGATGTATACTTCCTCATATGTACATAACAGTGGACCCGCCATGCACTTCAGCACACACATATGATGGGTGTCATATAATACTGCGCATAATAAATATGATATGTGTTGCACAAATCAAAGTTCGTTACTGATATGCTATCGTATACACAGTTGCTAACTTCACTGTCGGACGGTGAAGGATCTATCCGACCTGCACATACAAGCCGGATATTCCGCAAAAGGAACCATTGGAATTGACTGTAGTCATTAACAGGTCTTTTATGGTTCTGCCTCTTCTGTTTGATGGTCATCTGTTCACAAAACACACGCACCCGGGAAGTGGCGACAGCTGTGTAAGAACCAACGCAATTCAGGCGTGTCGTCGAGGGATTCCCTTCGCCTGATGTTGAACTTGGCTTGTTACCGTGAATGGCAGGGTTATTCACACTCGCGCGGGCATTTCTATTTGTATTATTTACGCGGGGACACCATGCAATATGTAGCTATATATACGTCGCCCAAATGCGTCCCTGTCCATTTCAGGTGACAATTAGAGCGGAAGCGTTGCTTCTCAGATGGCGAGCGAGTTTATTTGAAGTTAAACAGAGAGGTCGACATTTGCTGGCATGCAGGCTTTTAGCTGAGCGTCACTCTGCAACTCCAGCGATGTTCTATACGTTTCGCTTGAGAATCGCTTCTCTCAGCAGCACTGAACTGAAACCACCAAGCCGCAGCGTACGCGGGCCCCGTTTTGTGTATGCGCGCCCTCCGTCGGTGAGCGGAGTGTCTGCGGCGTGTTTATGTAAGCCCGGTTCCGTACACGACGCTCCTGTTTCTGTTGCATATTCGTTTAGGCACCGCGCTCCCGATGCACCATCAGTGGCGGCCTCTCGCTGTATGGGGAAGCCCTGGCGCGACCTGCCTGGTACGGGACGCGTGTTTCCGTATCATATCCCAGGAGATGTATGGGGAAAATGCGGCGCCGCTATTGGCTGAAAGCAATCACGTGATCTAAACGCATTTCCGGTCTTTTTTGTTTGTTTTTCATGCAAGATGGCGGCGCGCCTAGATGCAAGCATAACACTAGTTTTGCAATACGCATTACGTCGAAACGTGCGGGCTTTTCACTGACGGTGTCGCTGAAACGAGTTGTGTTCTTACGCAGCCGGTGTGTTCCGTTTTTTTTTTTTTTTTATTTGCGGCGTACGGCTTTACCCAGCTTCGCAAAAACCACTCTGAGAACGGCGCCACCTTGCATAAAAAGAAGCAAAAAAACGCAACAAACCGGGAGTGCGTTTAGATCACGTGAGCTTTTTCAGCCAATAGCGGCGCCGCACTTTCTTCATACATCTCTTAGGATATGATACTGGGGCATCTGTTGCTTGGCGTCAAAGCCTCTCGCTTCCTGTCCTTCGTTCCTCTTACCGGTGCGTTGGCATGGCATGCTGTTGTGCTGCCGGTTGTGGGTGCTTCCCCTTCGCTGGCGCAGCCGCAAGAGTTGATTTCTTTTTTTGTCGTACGCTGGTCACGTAACTGTGCTGCCCTTCCACCACTGCGCGCCCTCCTCCTCGTCTCTCGCTCCGCGACTGTGTGTGTATACGTATACATCGAGCCACTTTCGTATACGAGCGATGCACGTCGACGGATAACAGCGGGATCGCGTTTATTTTTTTTCTCGAGCGGCAGTGACATTCGTATCTCGCGGTATCGCGTTTGTTGGCCGCTCAAATTCCCGACGAGGCCTGTTTTCGTAACCCCGCCCCCTCGATTTCTATTCTCCGGCCGACGCCTCTCCTTTTCTTAGCGCAGTTTCTTCGCTTCTCTTTCTAGCGCACTTGCCAGCGAACGTCACCTCTCGGTTTTTCCACCTCTTCGCGACAACACGCTGCGAGACGCGCGTGTCGTGACCGCTCAATGGCCGCTAAATCGCCGCGACCGAACTGCATCGGACGACTCGGCGGCTTGCGTGCTGATACGCTCGTATTCATAAGCGCCTCGTGTGACGTGTACGGCGGTTCCGGCGACCGGCCGCATGCATACGGTTATGCGGGTGCTCTTTCGGATTATGAAGATGTATTCGCGACGTCTCTTCCGGCCGCTCGTTGGCATGGAAGGGATGCGGTGCTCACCCGGGCGCAGCCCGTGCAGTGGGGCGGGCTCGTGCCTGTGCTCTGCATATGTTGTCTGGGAGGGAGCCAGAAGAGGGCCGCGTGCCCCGGGGTGTCCGTTTGAGCGTGTCGAACTGCTGCCAGGCCCGGCCGTTGTCATCATCATCACCGTATTGCGGGCCGAAGTGGTTGAACGTCGTGCGCCTGGGACTATGCTTATGAGGCCGCTTATATAGCGGCGTTCGGGTTGTGGCGATACGTATCACGCAACATTTAATGCTCGTGGAATGGGGACAGAGTGTTCTGCTGCAGTGTACGCGAAATGTGCTCCCTGTTCTGTGAGTTTCTTCTAAAAGAGACAACAAAGAGGGTGAAAAAGTAGTAATTTCTGACTTGCGCCGAGTCTATTAGTATATTATATTCTCTCACACTGTCCCCTCCCTCAAGAAGGAAAATAAAATAAAGAAAGAATGGGGAGGAGAAAAGGGAAAGACTGTTTTGACGAGATAAGAAGATTAGGAAACCATGCAGAAGAGGCAGAACCAGACGTCCCTGCATTGCCTCACCATGTTGTCGCTGGCCCGGTGGCTAGTGTTTTATCTCTATAAATGATAGATGCTTGTTTTGCTTAGAATGAAATACTACGGTACTTAGATCATTGGAAGAATGTGCGCTTAATTTCAAAGAATCACAGAAAAGAAAAACTGACGCTCCAGACTTTGCATCCGCCGCGAAACCAGAAAAGCGCGCCAAATGCATTTCTTACCATATAGCCGGACTATATAACTGCCGCTTAATTAACGCATACTGCGTATTGAAGTAATAAGTTACCAGTACACACATATTGAGTGAATTTTGAAGTCGTTACTCAATGAACACGCACGTTGGCGTTCCGCTCACAACCATGTCTGTGCTTTTCCGGTGTGTTTCAAGCTCAGGCCGAGTGGCCTGGGGAGGGAAGCTGCTATGAAAACTCTCTCCGAGGAACATGTAATCTCTCTCTCCCTCTCGACTGCTACTCTCCAATATGAAGGCAGGCATACAACTGCTGGTCTAGTGCGCAAGAGAGCTGCCAGAGCGTCCTTTGTACTAACGGCGTCAAATGAAACTCGAACAGCGGCAAGCATTCGCAATCATCGCCATTGACAGGCGCGGGCATCCGGTTTGGCTGCCCTGTGCATATGCGCGCCTGTCCATGCTGATAACTGGACGGCGGCCAAACACTGGGAATGCTTGCCACTGTTGTGGTTCCATTTGACGCCGATATGGTATACTTATAGTTAGGATATCCTTGCATGTCGTCTGCTGTATGCACACAACGAAATCGTCACTATAAATCGTGCGCGGCCGATTCGCACGCTCTATCATCCTTGCAGATCACGTGGATGAGAAGGCGGAAGCAGGAACGCAAGGAACGGCCCTTCGTTATCTCTTCATATGGGCTATCGCTTGCAAACATTAAGCAGAGGAGGCACTCGCACTTGAAGCAGCGCAGCAAGATAAACACGTATGAGC